ATTATGCTTGAATCTCTTTCTAAAAAAGGAGATCAAGTAGAAATTTCCAACTCTATAATAATTCTAAATATCAAAAATAAATGTAGCAAGCGATACGTGAATAAATCAAAGAATCATGATAGGTGAGATTCTATTCAATAAATGTCATATCATTTATGTAACTAATTATATACCTTAAGAACTTTACACATTCATTGTCTGAAATATTTTATAAGGTAAATAAGTAAAGCATGTTATATTTATTAAGGTTGATTATTTAACAAAAACCATTTATGGAATTTAGTTATATTTTCATAATATCCAAGCATTCTCTTGTATTTCAGTCTTATTAGATTCACATCAAAAGAAACAAGTCTTAAATTGAGTACTTAATTTAACCTTTTCAAAGTAATATATACATGTAAACAAACTTTATACAAAAAATGTTTACTTACCGATACATTACGATGTTTTCTTTTACAATTGAAATAAATACAATGATGACTTCATAGTGTTTGTTTTCATTTCGGGCTGTATATGGATTATAATAGTATGTATATGTATAACAAATTGCAGTAAGCAAAATCTAACTAGCCTGCCAAAACAAATGATAAAAAAAAGTTAAATACTATTTGACTGAAATGAACTATAAAAAGGAAATCAATTGTGTCAGTAGTTATGGCAAGATAAATAAATAAAAAAATCAATTCCCCAATTTCATATTATTTTATTGTCTGACAATAATGTTGTTGGAATGTAGATTAAGAAATTGTTTAATTTGTCTTATTATTGATAAATAAGTTATAGTGAATTATATAGTTGTATTTGAAGATGAGATACGTCTTTTAATAGATTTGCTCCTTCTTTATATATTGTGATAAACCTCACTACAAACATATATATATACGTACTTAAGCCATGTCAGTCTTCTCTCTTCTCAATAAACGACTGTACAATTTGAAATTGGCAAATGTCAATTATTTCCTTCATTCATCATACATATTTACACATCATGAACTAGTAATCAAGTCTGTTTTATGTAATTTAGTCAAGAATTACATTTTCAATAGATGTAATTAAAAATTTTAACACTAAATATCATTTATCTAAGTTTTTCAATTCAGTACAGTATATTAAGCTATAGTCAATCTACTACTTTTAAATTCAATCTGTTTTACAAATATGTGATTTTTAATAGTTTTTGGATTGCAAAATAAGTAGTTTGTTCTAACCTATGGTGTTTTTTTGTGTGTAAACGTCAACCATCTGACTTGTTCACTGCACACGTTTTACATTTAGAAGAACATAATTTGTATATAATACCTTCACATTATTTTAATCGATTGACTGAGATATGAAAAATTTTAATTGTTTTTAACCAATCCCTTAAATTCTTTTCACCATAATGTAATAATGATCTTAATCTTTTAAATGATCAAACGTTATATTCGTCAGCTGATAGCTACTGTTATGAAACACTATTTTATTATAGTAAATATGGGTTTGTTCAAGAAGTTTGTAAGAAAACAGACCGACAAAATACTGTCCTAAATGTCAACAATGGGAAAATAGAAACCAGTAGAAACAACTAATTGTTAGTTGACTGAAAAAATTCAATTAATCTCTTCTGATAAACACTATCAAGACAATGACCAAATATAATATAACTACAGAAAAGTCATTCATTTTTAGGAACACAAATTATACTGTTACTAAAATGACTTTATTTTATTAGTCCGTTTTTCAAAAAAATATATGCTTTCCGACGTTAGGATTACGGTATTTTATACTTTAGACGAGGATTACTAGGCGTTCAGTCAAATGTGATTAACATTAGAGACATTGTTTTATCTAAAATGAATGACGACTGAATTTTCCTTTCTACACTGAACTGTTGATGACAGAAATTCCAACTACCTCTAAATTCAACAAAGAACTTGTTGGTCATTAGTTATGCTTTACACCCGAAAAATCGTGTTATGTATGTTAAGTCAACCAATCTTTGGAAAACTAAACGGAATAATAGGATGATCATGTAAAGAACAACCGAAAATGGAGTCCAAAATTTAGAACACGACGACAAATGTTTGAACAGTTACTTAATCAGTCTGTACAATATCCATTTATTGATTCTGATAGCTACACAAACTCGTGGTTATAGAATGACTGATTAGCTTGAAAATTTCAAATCCTTAACAGATCATTCATGAGATGAGTTGCTCACTAATAACATCTTCGTAAATCTTGATGGCGTAAGCTAGAACTCAACTTGAGGTATCAGTTTCTTTAAGACCACAGGGTGGTATTACTGAAGAGTTATAGAATTAAGGAATTTAAATCCACTGCTTCTCATTATCTATAATTACTCACAACTATATGGTTTTCTAAGATTTGCGTTGTACACAACGACATCGTTTATCTTTTCACATGTCTTATAGAATTGAAACAAGTTGATGTAGATCCATCCTGATGGTAATGTCATAAAACCGTGGACAACTAAACACTTACTGAGAGATACGTAGATGCTATCACTCATTAAACTAGTACGTATTTGGAACTGCATTTAACATTTAATGAAGTAACACACTGAAATATTCACCCATCTAAGCAACTAATTAAAAAACAGTTTTTTTCAATTTATCGATCATTCTACTACTAGGAAAACTAATTCCGCTGTATATACTGGCAACACCAAGTCAATCGTTTATGAACTCAATTAATCCTACTGAATTTGTTTAAATGTAAATGAACAAATTTCCAATTAGTAAGTTTTTGGCAAGCTAGTTGTATATTTTTATATTAAAAATAACACTACAAAACATCTGAACAACCAACAGCGTACTTCATTAATTGAATCTTCACGTTTATTACCGAAACATTCACCTATAGTTTTATAGAATTTAAATGATGCAACTATTTAGGGGAGGAAGAATGTGTTTGTTTAGTAACTAACATAGCATCTTCTTTCGAAATACATATGTATTCTTATTTCTTAGATTTCTTGATTATCTTATGACTTGATTATAAGACAGAGACACTTGCTATTATTTAGTCCCATTTAATGGAAAGGAATATTTGATAATGAACAATTTTTTGTTTAAGTATTGGAAATACAAATAAGTATCTTATGTATTATTATAGGACGTTGTGGAGATTTCTGAAATGAAGGTTTTACATGACTGACTGATTTTATGAGGAATCGAATGGTGGCTAGCAATGGGATCCAGGACTGGAGTTTTGTCCCATTTGATATCCGTTATCTGAATGTACCTGAATCCCAAAATTAGCTTTTGCTGTGAAGCTCACGCCCAGTACTTTTCACTTAAGACTGCTAGCCACTATTTCTGCTTAAAATTCTAATTATTTACTGGCAATATCAAGATAATTTGCATAGGCTGCAAAAAAACACTGATCAAGTGGAGTCTTAAACATCAATAGTAAGGTCCAACCAACCAGTTTATGTTAAATAAAACTAACCGACCTTAGTCTTATGACGACTAGAAACTAGGAGGCATTAATAAGTTATTTAGCTCTAACATACTGATGTCAAAATAAAGAGACAATGTGTAGGATACTGGATCTTATATCCAATATGACTGGTTTCATTCATAAAATGAAGATCATCCTGATCTGATGGGATGAAAAAGCGAGATCATGTTTTTTTAAAAATTCAGTATGACAACCGTTCAGAATAATGCGTTTCATCTTCACTGTAACAATTTGTTTAACATAAGGTTTGTCCCATATGCAGTGGGATTTTTATCCAGTATGATATTATTTGCAATAAATGAATTTGAACTATGTTCAGCAAGACATCCAGCATGCTATTTGTTATAACTCTGGACATTTTTTGTACATGTGACGTTTTTCTTATTGATAACTTAATAAGTGTACAAATCAGTGTATAAACGAATGTATTTTCCGCTAAGATCGCCTTGTTTTAGAGTGGAAATATCTTCACTTGTATCAATCTTTTATGTTCTCATTCCGCTTCGTAGGAGTTGCAGTGGTTCCTCGTATTTAAGTACATATAATAGCACAACGTGGACGTAGCACATTTAACTTATCTTCAGTGTTCATCCAGCACTTCCATGTGTATTAAACCCTAGAATTTTAGGTGTCGCAGAGAGGGCTTAAACTTTTGGACATTGAATTGAAATCCAATTGTTCATATTTCTAACTTCAATCAATTCTCGATGTTGTACGTCCATTAGTGATAATCATTAATGTTATTTGTCTTTCTCTCAAACATTATATATATATATATATATATATATATATATATATATATATATATATATATATTCAACAATCTGAATAATTGATTACTAACTTTAACCTTCGTGCAAACATTTTGATATCTAGGTAGATATATTTACTTGTCACTGTAACAATAGTTAACCCACTGGTTCAGTTATGAACCCTTTACTATATATTAAGGTAGAATCAAATTATTGTAAATGATGGAATAATGCAAATAAATGAGAAAAATGATTTCTTCATTCAGTTTGTATATCTTACTGACTATTTCATTGGTAATAAATCAATGATACTACTATATGCTTAGACGGTCATAGTTGATAATCAATGAGTAGATTTTATCCAGTAAATAGTTGGACGTTAGTCTAATCTTATTTAATCCAAACACTTTTTAAATGTTAAAGATACTACTAACTACTCAGATTGAAGAAGATATAATACATTTCAAATACATTTCAAACTGACATTATAGTAACTATTCCACTGGTGTGCAAATTTTCATTTAGAAAAGGAAAATAAGAGAAATTGTTTTTCGAGGATCGTAAAACTACTTACCTGATATAGCTGAATGAAAATCTAGTTGAATTATAACCGTTTAATTGTGACATTTAATAACTTTTTATTTTTCTATCCTCTCCTGTTTAATGTCAACGATCTTTTCATTTATTCAATAAATATCTATAAAAGCCAAATATAAGACACATTTGATAAAAGATAGTTCTTTGATGTAGCTTGTTAGATGCAGAATTTATAAATCGTAATCACCCCTCTTTTTGAAAAAAATAAATATGATTACTTGATGATGATGATGATGATGATGATGATGATGATGATGATGATGATGATGATGATGATGATGATGATGATGATGATGATGATGATGATGATGATGATGATGATGATGATGATGATGATGATGATGATGATGATGATGATGATGATGATGATGATGATGATGATGATGATGATGATGATGATGATGATGATGATGATGATGATGATGATGATGATGATGATGATGATGATGATGATGATGATGATGATGATGATGATGATGATGATGATGATGATGATGATGATGATGATGATGATGATGATGATGATGATGATGATGATGATGATGATGATGATGATGATGATGATGATGATGATGATGATGATGATGATGATGATGATGATGATGATGATGATGATGATGATGATGATGATGATGATGATGATGATGATGATGATGATGATGATGATGATGATGATGATGATGATGATGATGATGATGATGATGATGATGATGATGATGATGATGATGGCATGAACAGGTTTTTTCTCCGAATCAATTTCATTTCAATTTTGGCTTCCTTCTGTTAAAAAAACAAACCTTCCTTCATGACATACTTTCATGATATAATATTCGATTTTCAAATTGATTTTTAGCTTTATAATAATTAGTAATTTCACAAAGATGTGTTGGCAACAAAATAAGGGGAATTTCTTTCAAACAATTGTATTAATTACTTTTCAATACATACTGTTTTTATAATCTCTACTCCTTAATTCTTAGTTGGGACTTTTGTTGTCTTTTTTCCGTTTCATATCGATTTTTGAAGGAAAATTGCTTGTGATTATTAGCGTGTTGTGTTTTTTGATAAAAAAAAATCAATTTCTTTATTATAATCTATTGACTAAGCTGTGAAATGTAACTACTAAACATTACTCACGTTGCTGATATATTGAAGGAGGTAGTAGACATAATATTATAATGCGTGTAATTCTCATCATCTGTTAATTGTCGTTACGAGAAGCATTCATAAATAGTGGTTCATATTTATTTAGCAAGTATCAAATAACTTATTCCGCATGTAACCCGTTAAAAATATAAGCAATGTATTGTTTTGATAGTAAGTGAAGTTCATATAAAATGTTAAACACCATAAATGAATCGTCAAATGAAATGATATTGATTTTTTTTTTGTCATCATAAAAGAGTAAATAATCTCTAATCAATTTGTACAATATAATCAGTAATCTAAGTGAAAAGTTTATTGTTGTATATAATTGGACTTTAAAATTTATCGTTTGGATTAATGTTTGATTACTTTCAAGTGTTTTGAATAAACAACATGATATGTTATTGATGGAAATAAATGAATAAAGGGCGGCCTGCTTGAGCATCTGGTCTGCCTATTCCTGCCATCTAGATATTTCAACAAGTTATCTATTTTTGTTTGTTTTAATATATCATTACGTTTATTAATCGCATGACCTATTCTGCTGCCTTTCTGAAAAGTGTACAACCTTTCGTTGTCAAAGTTACAAAAAACTCAATGTGGTTGCTGGCAATATACAGCGAAAAGAATGCACATTATTCAGATGTTCTTTTACTGAACTGCTAACATCTAACTGGCGATCACTCAATATTTATCGTCAGGACCGATCAAGAAGAAAGAAACGGAAACTTGTTGAAATACTTTACGCTGAGAATTCTATATTGTACCAAAAATATAATATTGAATAAAGCTGATGATAATAATAAATAATAATAATAAATAAACAATAAATTCATGATAGTTCATGACCATTTTACAGTGTCTTCGGTAGGTAACTACTTCATATATGACACGGGGGTTTCAAGATTTCAATTGTAGTCTAACTTTGATCGGTTAAAGATCTTAGTTAAAAGCTTAACAATCTCCACAACCTTGTACCAAATAAATAATATATTTCGATAATATGTAACTACATCTTGATTTATTATGATGATCTTTGACGGTTTCAAGGGTAAGAAAAAAATTTTAAGAAATATAGTCATTTTAAAACTTTATTATAGGTGAAGTACTTTCGTTTAAAATTTGTATATTCAATGTAAATGATGTAATCCAACAGAAAAATATCCTCTGATAAATGAACATAGTGTTTCTCTAATAAATTTCAAGCCTTCTTGTCAAATGTATATCAACTTTTACATATAACGAACCTTTAGTGGTAGGCTGAAATGTAATATCATCAGTACTTTAGACACGTAATAAACAATAATTTCTTGATACAATTTTTTAGTGTTTAGCGGGTTGTATTCGATTTGAAAACCAAAAAGTTTGTAATTATAATCTCTTTAGTTAGAACAATAATAGACAGCGTAAAATCAAGTGATTAGTAATTATCATAATAATTACTTTATTTAACATTCTGTTTGCATTTGTGTTCTGGGCTGAACGGGTCGGGCTAGATGAAAAGTGACTATACAGATGACGAATAAAGATTCAGAGATAACCAAAGGCTGCTGGTGATGGTTGACTCATCATTGGTGTAGCATAGGGATAAGGTCATAGAAGTCGGTTTTCTGATTGGCAATTTTATCACCCGATATTTGACCGGCCATGGAACATAACGGTTTGCTTAGACAATTCTTAGTGAAAGTATTCAAAAGTAAAACTAATAACCGTCTAATATGCGTTCACTTTGTAAATATTAAAAATATTTATCAAATGTTTTTAACCAGGGGTTAACTGCCATTCACCCGAAAATGGTTACCGCCAGTTCTAGTCTCGTGATATTATTGATGCCTGAATTCTGAAGTCATCATATCTCGTTTCTTCAAAGGTCAGGAGAGTAAAATAATATGCTGACTAATGGAATTGTTTTTTTCTTGAATTGATACATGATAATGCATGAGCTCACTTGGTTGTAAGACAGTATTATTCATCTTGAACATATATGTAAGACAGTCAAATTCATGGCGATAAATTCACTTTTTGAAAATAAACCGCCCAGAATTTCGAGAACATTGGTTATCGCCTGTACCTGTAAAATTGGAATTATTATTCAGTTATTCACTTTCTCAAGCTTTAAGCTGTATGAAACGTTTTCTTTTATCACTGTATTATCTGACAGTAGGAAATTATTATTCAGTTTAGCTTTTCATACAGACGTGTACTGACTGAAATGTGCTTTTGTGAGAGACTACAATCAGATTAGAACCTATTCAAGACCAAAAAGTATAGAGTATCAGTGAAGGATCTTGATTCTATTAGAAGTCAATTTTGATTATTTTTAAACTGATAAGCACAATTGTTACTGTTAGTATCCATAGCTCACATCATAACACTTATCTGTAAAGATTACTATGTTATAATATAAAACGATTTCGTCCAGTTCTGTTTATTTTTTCGATAATTCTCTAAGCAATATAAAAAGCAGTGAAAAAGTCTTTGATTTAGTTTTCAGGACCAAAATATTTAAATGTATGTTGAAATAAACGTTGACAAGTAATTCTCAGGTTTCTGGTGAGAAGCTGTGACCAGTAGAGTCCAACGGTGTTGAGTGTGTGGCGTTTATCCACAAAAGACGGTGAAAGATGGTCGCGCAGTATCTTGCATTGGTCAAAGTTATCCATTAACACCATTGGATGCCAGCTCAGTGGTCCAGAGGTTAAGCGTTCACACAAGACCGAAGGTTTTGTGTTCGAGCTCTACGAGCTTTGGATGCACACTGGTGAGGAGTCCCGTACTAGAACGATACGGCCACCCAATGCTTTCACGTTCTTAATGGTGGTCTAACACTGGTCGGATCATGATCTCAATAAAAACTCAATAATCTTCACAATCTATACTGATAAGTTGTATTGTTTGATTATCTGACATCTAAGTAAACTCTTGAGTAAAAAGTTGGGAATTTTATGTGGAAAAAGGAAAACATAATTATGTTCAGAAGTATATACTTTCGAGAAGAAACTTTTGCACAGCTGTCAATAAAATTTTGTCTACATTAAAGTTTGGCTAATTTTAAGAAAAACTCATATATGTAATTCATCCAAAATGATTATGAGAGTTCTTATCAGTGGTTTATTTATTGACTAACGAAAATGCTTTCTTTGTGCTTTCAGGTTTTCCATGGTGGTTTAGCTTCAATTGACTCATAATCTCAAGTATTGAAATTACTATAAAATCCACATAAACCCTTCTGATAATAATCAGCATATACTCATTAGGGACTGGCTTCAATAGGTATTTCCTGGAGTTCTAGTGAGAAGCAGTGGCCAGTGGATATCAACCGGGTCTGTTGTGAGATTTTATCTCACTAATGATAATATTGGACGGTTACGCAATTTCGTGGATTACTTGGAGTTGGAGATTAGCACCGTTGGATGCCAGCCAGCTCAGTGGTCTAGAAGTTAGGCGTTCCTGTACAAGACTGATAGGCTCTGGGTTCGAATTCCGTGAGGTATGGTCGTGGATGTGCACTGCTGAAGAGTTTCAAAGTAGGACAAAATGTTCGTCCAGTGCTTCCAGGTTTTCTATGGTGGTCTAGCTTCAATTGACTCATGATCTCATTTATTGAAATTACTATAATATCCACAAAAATCCCTTCTGATAAAGATTTAAATGTGTAAAGAATCAGAGAAAATCTTTTCCTACATGATTCTAACCATTACTTTTCCTTGTAATGATACTGACATTCATTAGATTTTCTAAAGTCATTTTAATTTCCACTTTGAAAAAAAGAATTCATTTCATTGTCTTTCAATTTATTGATTTTAACTCTGTAAATGAATAAAAAACCTCTATACTTTAGTAATGACTTTACATAGAATACTTTACATTCTTTAAAACTAAATTCTAATCTATTTCACAATGTTCTAGTTAGAAGATAAGAATTACTTTTATAAACAAATGTAAAGAATAATTTACGTGGTAGAATCTATTTGGGTTTTGTACAATGTTCATCAAAAGGGGAAATAGTTGTTCCCGACGCCACAACTAATCATAAATATTTCATTCAGGTTATGTTTTTTTCTTATTGTATTAGTTATATTATTATACTTAACTAAATGATTTTCATATTAATGATGTCTACATTTTGAATGTTTTTTTTTCTTACTGGACTATAGAAATCTCATGTAGATTAATGTAAAACAAAACTTTTAGTGAATTCCTTGTCATAACTACAGTCTTATTTGAAAATGTTCCCATTAATATTTAAATTTAGAAATGAATATACAATTAACAATTAGATATGTAATAATCTATAAATTGATAGTTGGTTAATGTCATACCAACTATTTCATTTATATGATAAACTAATATGAACTTGTCATTGATCATTTAATGGAATGATAAAATACAAAGATATTTCTAGAGTTGTCCTTAAAAACAATTTACAAATCTCAAGTAAAATAACATTTCAGAAGACAGAACTATTGGTCATGGGTTTCTAATAAATTGCTGAGAATATAATTTATGAACGACCTTTGAGCGACGCTAACATGACCTTGAGAGTGTTCACGTGATAATTAAGACTAAATGAGGGTTATAAATCA